AGATCGAAATTGAGAAACATGCATGTCAGAAATACCATCATCCTCCTCCAGAGAAGCTCTACCGCTCTTTAAGCCGTCAACACCGCGAGCGTGTGTGTGTTCCAGCATGGAAACGAGTGTCTCTGACAATAGGGTTATAAGGATCTGCTCAGAGCCCAATTATACATTTGAAATCTGTTGGATTTAGCACTTTCTAACAAGCCTTGCTCATGACCCAGTGATATGCGGACTCAATTATGCATCTCAAAACCAGGCCTTCTAGTTTTTTTCCAAGTAATTAACTTTTTGGTCAGTCGGCCCTTAGAGCGCTTTCCTGCATCACTTTTGGCAGCACCATTAGTGGTTAACACGTCACCTGTCAGTTAGCCTGGGCTTTAGGAGGACAGCAGGAGAGGTTGGTGTAAGCTGAATGTATGTGCCCTGAGTTCTCCAATAAATCAATACAGGACGTGTGAGACTCCGGAAAGGAGGGGCCACCGCAGGCCATGGCTGAGATTTGAGCCTATCATTTACAGTCAGAGGAAATGCGATCTGTCTGTGTTTGTTTCATCCATCATCTCTTTCCTTTTGTACTGGCAAAAAAATGTTTAGTAGAAATAAATTAGAATATAATGAGCGCACTCACGAGGTGAATGTGCGGATCGCTTTGGGTACGGTGTTTTTCTGTGTGATTGATTGCTTCCATAGCGTTTGTAGTTCTACCTGGGGTGGTGGTAGTTGTGTTATTTTTATAAATGGGAGTTTATAGTCGAGTGAAAAGCGGATGCCTTTGTGAGTTCTCGGTATAGAGCTCGGCTAGCAATCAGTTTGTATAGTGTCAAGTGGTCTCTAACAAGAACCTATAGCTTAGAAAAACATGAATAATTACATTAATCACGACCCTAAATGCTATAATTATACTTAGTGTATTCTTGTGCCTTGGGAAAGGTGAGGCTTGTTGAGTTGAAATTAGCGTGAGTTTATTAACTAGTAGGAAACTGATGACGCAATGTGAATACTGTACAACGTTCGGTTAAAGTGCCACAGTCGGGCTCATTTTCTGAAACTTAAAAACTTTTAAAGACAGTTATACTGTGAGCTCCTAGGTTGTAAATTGATGGTAAATGCTTTTGTTGAAGCCATCAGTTTGTATTAGTGCAACCTATTTTTTTTAAAGAATATCATTTAACAGTAGGATTCCTGGTGGAAAAACTACATTACCCACGATGCTATAAATATTAGAGAGTCACAGCAAGCAAATCGCAGCAAAAGATCTCGGCAGTAAACACCCACTTCCATGAAGCACCGTGAATTTACTGTATTTACTCAAGTCAGACTCCCTGTGCTCTCAATCTGCTTAAATATTTGTGTGTGTTTGTATATATATATATATATTAGGGCTGTCAGATAAATGTGTTATTAACAACGTTAGCGCAAACCCATTTTAACGGCGTCAATTTTTTATCGCACGATTAACAGTCTTTTTGGCCTAGCAAACTTTGTAGTTTTCTTTCACATGCTTTTGCAACAGGATGTGGCATGTGAAAAACCCATTCATTTCAATGGTGTGAGGACGTTTTGTTGCTTCGTCGACCAAAGCGCGAGCGGATCTAGCTAGACCATAAACAAAACACACTCGTTTTGGCTCGCAAGCCGGCCAAATAGTTGTTTAACATTACGTTTTTAGTGGATGACGAGCGCGAGATGCCGAAATGGATGCCAGTAAGATTCTGAATGGAAACTTTACTTTTAAAAAGTTGCCAAATTGTCCCATTGACAAGACCAAAGTGATCTGTGTGTTTTGTCATTGTGAACTGAGCTATCATCATTGCTGCACATCCAGTCTGAAACACCACTTGATGATGGCCAAGCACACACACACAGACAGCTGATGCGAATTCTCCGCCCCCTCGTCAATATCAGGACCTCGTCAGTATTTCTTTCACCCTTTTATTGATGGACAGTGTTACATTGTGAGAGATTATATGCTCCAAGTGAGAACGTTAGTGTGAAATTAAACACAGTAAAAAAAACATTTGCACAAAGCAAGCCGATCCACTTTTCCATGTTGATAAGAGCATTAAAATGAGAAAAAATAACGGGACAAAAAGAAATCAAGAGACATTTAGAATAGATAAAAATGTGCGATTAATTGCGAGTTAACTATGACATTCATGCGATTAATCGCGATTAAATATTTTAATTGTTTGACAGCACTAATATATATATATATAGGAATACATGTAAAATAAATTGTTTCTTTATAGATAATCAACATATTTAAATCAAGTTCTCCATTGTTTTTATTTAATGAAGGAAAGAACTATAATTACCTTTGTCTTTTTGTCCGATTTTCAAATCATTTTTTTTTTTGCTTCAAATACATTTTTGTTCACCCTGTGACTGGTTTGGTACATGTTGTAAAATCCCTTATTGAAGACTTTTAAAAAAAAATCCCTATCAGAAAAATTAATACTTCCGGAATCAACACCGCTAAAGCACTTGCTCTTTATATACCTGTTTATAAAGTCCCTCAGAAGTTGTCATCATTTTTTTTAGCTCTCTTACATTATTAGCATTAGTACGTGTGCTACCAAGCAACAGATTCCAGCTATGGATGCATGCAGGAAAATTGACTTTAATGTCGAAGGGTTTTGTAGCATGCCATTAACGGAGTGCAGTGGAATAATAATGCGCTGTAGTTACGGCACTTGAGGAGCGTAGCGGACAAGTTAAAGGTCACGAGGGCTGAAGAGGTGCTTTGTCCTCGAGCCCATCAACATTCTTAGACAATAATGACCTTTAACAGCTTCCACAACTCTCTAAAGGTTTGCTCTCAATGTGGGTTGTAGGAACTCAGTGTTTTTTCAATAACACTCATACAGCGTTGTGCTAGTAAATTTGGCGACTTCATGTTTCATTAGCTTTGGAGTCGATCAATCCTATGAGACTTCTTTGCTGGCCAAGTGCCATCATTTCAATAACGATATCTTAAATTGAAGAATTAAAGAAAGAATAAGCCCTCACACTACGGCCTTTGTTAAAATGTACTGCTCTTTTTTTTTTTACCTTAGAACAAGCGGTGCCGTACCTTTCCGCAACCCACCTTTGTCTTTTGTCTCAGTCTTAGAGCCTGATGTCGACCGTAGTTTTCACGGATACTGTCTCCCAGGCCGATGAATAATGAATCCTGAATCCTGAGCTGTGGCATCTGGCAGAGATGGTGTCAGGAGAGTGAGGTTAAGAGAGATTGGGGATGTTAGCTGGTTGTGTAGTTGTGTGTATGTGTGTCTTAGTCCCACATACGAGCCCGTTCTCAGTAGCAGCAGAGCTTGAAGAGACTTTAATAGCAATGGACTGAGAGGCACAGTGAAATGGAACAGGGTATCCTAAGAAAGAGCTCTTTTAGCACCTCTCTGTCTCCCGGGATAAAACAAACCAGCGGAGGAGCGAACCAAAAGGATCAAAAGTTGTGTGGGCGAGGGAGCGGCTGTATGCTTGCTATATTGCATGGATATTAAGTCGTTTTCCAAATTGCGTGGGGAAGAAATTGAGTGTACATTTTCGCACATATTTTTTCATCAGTTGCTTACTGTTCAATCTTTCATGAAACGTTCCAGAGACCGTAGTGCGAAACCTGAGTAGAGCTGCATGATTTTTAGGGAAAAAGCCTCTTGACTTGTTTCTAGTAGACTGAATCCATAATCACTCAAATTGTCATGGTAACAGGGGAAATTGCAGGAGGTGGAATTGGTGATTGCTTGACCGAGAGAAAAGCATACGTTTAGAACAGTTTGCATGCTATTTGGCCTTTGAATTAAACAACATAGAAAGCTTCAGTTTATTTCAGGAGCGCTGTTTGCTAAGGCTAGGGTCACTGTTACTCTGACCCTCATAATTATATTCTGACCAACGGCACAAACTGCGTTTATACAATAAACCGCAAGTGTTGAGGAACTTGCATATATCTTTGCTCCGCTAGTTTGAAACAAATCCACAAATGTAAAACAATGTTTTCTATTATGGTTCAAAATAGCATTTTTTGAGTTTGTGAGTCTTTTTGAGTGATTTGTGCATCTTGAAGAAAGTGTCCTGTTGTATTTCAAAGCGATTTAAGAGACCACTTAGCAATAGTTTGGCACTTACAACTCTTATAGCAAAGAGGTTTGCACTGACAAGAAAAACTCAGAAAAGGTAGCAGTTTTTCTTTTAAATCAATGAACTTTAATCCATTTTAGCTTCAAACTCATGCACTTTTTCCTTATTCTCTTGCTTTACATATTCATAAGGTTGGCTGTATGACCAGCATTTTATATATATATATATATATATTGACCAGTGTAATGCAGTAATGTAACCAAAATCAATGCAGTGGCCTTGCAAATTACTGTTCTAGAAATTCCACAGACAGGCTCAGTCAGAAAACTTTTGATTAAATTAAACTGTAAATGTAATTACTCTTGGTTTCACCACTATATACAGTATAAATAATGACATCACTTCCTGTGCATGCTGCCTCAGCAGCACATTCCATGCAGGCCCTGTGGGTTGCAGCATGAAATGGGGCTAATCCTTCCCGAAGCCGTTCCTTTAGTGTTTGTGGCTTCATTCCCGAGAAATTGGTTGGAATCTGACCAATTAGCTGACATTAGCCGGAAAACTGCGTTCCCAGCATAACTTACGATTCTTCCTCTTTGCATGACCATACTGTGACATAATCTTTACATCCCTTCTCCATCTGTGTGTTTCTCTTTCTTGCTCTCTGTATGTGTAGTTTATAGTCTATTTCACCTGGTCAGCTCCCGAGCGTAGAAGGAACGGACGTTTGTGTTGTTTTCTTGAAACGAGAACCGAGAGCGGATCCGGCAAACTTGGCTCACACCATAGGACTAGTAGCTGGGAACTGGGGGCAGCCAAAAACCATTTCACAGGCTAAAACTGAACCAAATCGTGTATGGTGAAGAATAGCTCCCACCACCAAGCAGCAACTTCCTCTTTTGTGCCCCTCCCCTCCTCTGCAGAGTCGACTGAAGACCCCTCCAGCGCCGGCATGGTGGCCGGAGCCATCCTGGGCAGCTTCTTGGCCCTCGTTTTGGTCGGCGCGTTGGTCACCGTGTTAGTGACGCGAAGCCGTCGCCAGCAGCATGGATATTCGGGCGACGGCGAGCAGGGCGCCTACGGCAACAAAACCCGTCTTTTTGGCGGCAAGAAGTCCAGCAAGAACGGCACAGGGGCCAACAACAACGGCCCGATCTACACGTACCGCGAAAGCGAGCCGGGAGCCCTGACGGAGAAATGCAACGAGTTCCCTCACATGACCACCTGCCCGCCAACCGCTCATGACATCCTGCTGAGCGGCGAGCTGAATGAAGCCGTGCGAAGGAAGTTCGACGCCCTGAACGACAGCTTGGAGGAGGAGGAAGAGGACGAAAGGTACGACCGCTTCAGCGGACTGCCGCCCAGCTACCAAATCCACCGGCACGAGGACGAGTGTGCTCCTTACCTGGACGACGACATGGAGTCTCAACGAGACGGCTCAATCATCTCCCGGACTGCCATCTATGTCTAGAAGAATCAGATGATGCACCTGACTGATATTTACTTGACCTTTTAAAACAAAGACGCAAATGTGCCATCTGGGGAGTGGAAGCAGAATGGTGGATGAAGACACTCATTATCATGCAGAAAACACATTGATTTTGCTTGCCTCACGATGTAACTTGTTGTTAACGCCCATTCTAGTCAGAATCCATCCTTCTGTGGTTCACTCACACCCACGAGCACAATACTCAACCAGGCCCTTTTGAAGTGAATAGAAAGCCTTGTGATTGCCCATACAGGCTTGTCAATGCTACATTGCACGAGAGGCTCAGCATCTGTGACCCAGAAGCGAAGGCCGCACTCGCCAGGTTGTGTACAGCTTCTTTTATCAATCGCCGAGTATGCCGTCTTCGAGAACAGCTGGATGTTTTGTGAGCTAAACAGAAAACAGACAACTCAACGTTCACCACAGCATCTGGGTCATTCATCCGTGCAGCCGATCAACTCCAGTAGTGAACGCTTTTAACTTCCCCCACAATTTGTTTTAGTTCTCGTTACGCTAAAGGAATTCTCTGATTCACTCAAGTTCTCGGCAGAGGCAGACTCTCCTGTCGGTTTGTTCCAGGCCAGAGTGTTGTGCATTTTGGGCTGATGCATGTTCCCCATCCACCCCCCGCCCTTCGATTAATCCAGTTATCAAAACCATCTCGCATTAGCACGAATCCTTCCAGGAGAAAGGCTTGGACTGTTGTTTTTGTCTTTTAACTTCACTACAACAGATTAAGTAGATTAATGCACATCATAGATCTGTGTGGAAGGCGGGGCCTTGAGAGGAAAGCAACTGATGTGCCTTTGAGTGTGGGATTATTTGGACAGCGGAGCGCGGATGGACCCCAGCAGGGACCGTTAAGCCAGGCGGCATATGTTTGCCAGGTTCAGCGGAGTCCACGGTCTTGAAAAGCTGCCAGCTGTGAAAAAAGGTCAAGGGACAAGGCGCTCTCACCGTATGTTCAGCAGCGAGATTAGGACACTCACTTTACCGCATCCCTCTAGAGCGGACCAATGGTTTGTTTTGATGCCTCGCGCATAAGCCGACTTTTTTAAAACGACAAAATTTCGGACACTGTGTGCGTGTAACCGTAGCGGTGTGAGTCCAGATGTGGATTAATTTGTCTCCGGGTGTCGGCGAATGCGTGTTTTGCATAATATCATGCAGCTTGTATGGATGCTTTGGCAGTGCTTTGAATTACTTGAGCCGTGACTCATTCATCCTTGGTTTCGCTCGTCGAGCCTTCGGTGGAGGGAGGTTAGCGCGATAATGACAAAGGAGCAACACACTCACCAATGCGACGCAACCCAGAGAGAACTAGCATGAGTAATTTGGAGATTATACTATCTGGACCCAGTGACTGTAAAGACAGTAGTTACTCTAGCCTACAATGTTCACCCACGCTGCAGATTTGCAAGGCTGTTAATTTTTTCCTCCTCCCTAAAGCTCTTCAAGTTGCATCACTGCACTGAAAAATAAGGATGGGAAAGCTCCTTTTCTGAGAACTGCTAAGGCCTTGACGGAAAGAAGACGACGCGGAGAGAGAGCTTAATGCGTCAGTCAATAGTGTGCTGTTTGCAGTAGTAAATGTATTAACTTTACCTGTTTAGTAATGAAATTGGAATCAATGTAGGGCAGATTCAGAGAGGCCTGCGATGTCTTGTGATTTACTGACGGCGGTTGTGAACATTTGACATGAGACTTGAGAATACTAAAAGAGCAATGTTGCCAAATCAAGTTTTATCAACTCTTAGTATTCGTGTTTTAATAGACTTTTTGGTTGAACTTTTCTGAATGTTGCTATAGAATATTAGTATTAAGGGTTCGATGTGATGCCATGTTCTCATTTGCACAGTCCCAAGGCTACATAGCGATTAATTATTGAAATAATTGGGTAAATCTCACAGAATATGTCTGGGTCGTGTTTTACTGCAGAATCTAAAGTAACTTTAATTTACATAAAGACAATTAAGTATCACAATTTTTATCAAAAAGATATATTATGCACTGTAAAAATGAATATGCTTTATCTAAACAATAAAATTGTGGCAACAGATTACAAACAATATTATTAATTAAACTGAACAAATTAGAATTGAGTAATGCTTAATCAAAATATTCCTTAAACCATTTAAAATGATTAAATTTTACACCCAAAAATTAAACAAAAATATCTGAATAACAGACAGACGTCAAAGATTAATTATTTTATATTATCTTTATTTTATATTGCCAACATTGAAGACGATGTTAACAAGGAGAAACACTGAAGGAGATAACTGTCATTTTAAAACAAACCTAAAACAAACACTGATCACCATAATGGTGAATTTTTTACTCATTTTAAATGGTTAACTTTTATTTGATTAATTATTACTCAATTCTATTGTTAAATTCAATTAATAATATTGCTTGTAATCTGTTGCCACAATTTTTTTGATTAGACAAAGCGCATTCGTTTTTACAGTGTGTATGGAAGCATCAGCTTAATTGTGAATAACATAATGCCATAATGCAACGTAGACATTATATATTTTTATGTAACTATGTACTGATTTTGGAGTGAAATATGACCTGGACTTCGCCTGGTTATCTGGTAATGTTTGAAGATGAAAGTTACCATCTATCCTCATGTTCTCAATATGATAAAACAAAACAGTATGCTTTGATAAGTTGATGTAAGTGCCTTCTGGGATGTGTTTTTAGGGTTGGAGGCTTGCCACAATTCATGCGATGTTGAAATCAAATCCCTGTATATTGTAAATTAATGCTGGACTAAAAGACTGCAATCCATCAACAATATTAAGGACGGAAGAAAAACAAGACGGCAAATTGCCCCCACGTGATGATCCTTAATTGCTCCACATTATGGTGCAAGTCATTATTAACTCATCAGCTGTGGATGCCATCTCGAGCTGGTTTAATCTTGTTATTCATTCACTCTGAATGTTGTGTTGTGCTGTCAGGTTGTGACACTATGTGTATGACGAACACTTGGGACTGAACGCTGTTGCCTAGCCCTAGCGTCAGACCTCTTGTTTCTTTTGTGTAAAAACTGTCCACGGTTTCATATCACATCACGTAACTGCTGTACTATAACGAATCTTTGTCAATACGTGTGAGAACGATCTATACTCTCTTCTGTTTGTTCGTTTAGTTTGTTATATACTATGGATGGAAAACCAGTGTTATCCTGTGAGGTTTTGATGGTGTGTATTATGACGTGACGTATCCTGTGTGTGAGATATCTATATACTGTATATGTATGTATTTATCATCAAGAAATCCAGTGAGAGAAAAGTGTTATTTATCAGTAGTGTAAATAACAGATGTAGTGGTCCGAACACCAAATATAAAAGCAGAAGTAGTTTAATAGCCCAGAGTAGATGAGAAGAACCTCAGCTGCCTTGAGTCCGGTGATTTCGACAGGCGTGAATACTGCGAGTTCAGCAGATGTAGCCTCCCCGACGCACACTAGTTAGTTAGTAACTGACTCGCGGCCTGTGTTGAAGCACAGTACAGATTGACGTTCGCACACAAACCTTTTGCACTGACAACTTTTTGCTCTCAGCCCTCAACGACATGGCACACACTCCTAAGCATGACAAGACTTCAACACTAGATAAACACACACTCACTCGACTGTAGCGGGCGGATCTTGCGCACATGTCCTGGTCATATGACACCTGTGACTCAGAGGAAAGAAATAATAAATTACATTTTGTTTAAAGTCAATTGTTCCAACGGTCATGGAGAACCTGGAAATATAAGGACCTGATTTCCAGGCCTGGAAAAAGGGCATCATTATTTCATGACTTTAATAATATAAATTTATTAGATTTATTTAATCTTAATTTATTCAAAATATAAAATACAAATATATCACTTCTAAATTAACTTGAGTAAAATGTAAATGTTTTAATAGTATACATTTTAGTTGGGTTAATTTTGTAATATATTTTTATTTTATATTTTGAATATATATATATATATATATATATATATATATATATATATATATATATATGAAGAGTTCAGATGCAAAAGCCTCTAAATGCCATTTGAAATTTTCTTCTTTAATGATGATTTGTATCAAACTTGTATATTTAAGTTCAGTAATTTCACTTAAATGGCAATGATAATTACCTAATAATTGTTATTTAAGTGAAATTACTGAACTTAAATATACAAGTTTGATAAAAATCATCATTAAAGAAGAAAATTTCAAATGGCATTTAGAGGCTTTTGCATCTGAACTCTTCATATATATATATTTCAATATTGTAATGATCATGGCACAGAAAACATGCATAATTGTTGTGAAAATAATTTTACATAATGTTTAATTTTTTTCATGGAAATTCATTGGTCAAATGTGCATCGTTTTTTTCATGACTATAACAATCTTAATTTTATTACATTTCATCTATATATTTGAAATTAAAATATTAATTTAAAATATAAAATAAAAAAACAAATTTAATGGTGGAAATATTTTATATTTTAGTTGAGATGTATTTTTATTTTATATTTGGAATAAATCTTGGAAAATATGCATACGTTTTATGTAAATAAGGAAACAATGCAAAAAAAAAATCATAATTTTCCTATAAATAGCTAAATAAATTCTTTGTATCAGGCCTAAATATGAAATCTTAAAAGTTAAAATGTGTATTGTTTTATTATGACTAATGATCTTAATTTTATGACTTTTATTAAACTGAATTTTAAAATTTTTAAATATTTATTTAAAATAAAAATACATTACTTACAAAATTATCTCAGGAAAAATGTAAATGCTAAAGAGTTTACATTTACGTTATCTTTGTATTTTTATTTTATATATTTGTTTATATCCAGTATTTCAATGATTATATTGCATAATTTTCATGAAAATAATGGTACAATGCTAAAAATCATATAATTTTTTTCTTATTTACTTTTTATTTCCTGTTGATGTTGGGCTGAAATATGAACCAGGCATGTTTTATTGTTTTGTTTTTTTGTGAGATTCGCCCTCAAATCACCCCGCGCACACTGTGTCCATCTAGGATTTATTTTCCGCGGTTAAAAGCAACGTGAGAAACCATTCCGCTGAAATACACCAGTATTATCCTGTTTAGTAAAAGACATTATGAAGATTCATATTAGTTTCCTCCGTTCCTCACTGGTCATGGGGTTTTATAACCCTGAAAGACTCCAGATGAAGTGGGAAGCACTGGAGCACTAATCCTCCCTGAAAATGGTGCCACAGCGGGCAGAACACTGCCAGGTTAAAACCCAATGTTTCTGGCATACAATTACGCAGCCTGTCCGCAGCCACTACTCTTAATTTTTGACAACAGAAATGGGTTATGGCATCTCCAGTTTGCATCTGGCTCTAGTCTCAAAGCAACTCGGAGTCATTAGGCAAAATTGCGTTTTCATGTGTTTTCATTGCCTGTTCCCTCTCATCAGCTACTTGTGAACACTATAAATAAATTAGAGAACTAGCAAACACATTACTAATTGATACGCAGCCCTGCATTACCTCCACGCCATTTGGTTGTTTTGCGTTTGGCTCGTTTCTTTTTGTTTTGTTTTCATTGTGTAAGATATGTAGTCTCTTTTAGGGGAAATCACTAAGATGTTCCACTGATTAACACTAACAGAAACACTTAAACTTGTGTGGGGTGTTTATTTGGAGCGGAAACAAAACCGTGTACATTCCAAGTCCCAGTTTCGTCCCATCACATTATTTTTGTATACTGGTTGTAATTAAAACCTGGTGGATTTCTAAATGCTTTGTCTGACGTGTCTGCTTGTTGACTTCTTATTTTCTGCATCTTGTGTTCTGCGATCAAACGCAGTATGTTCACTGCCTCTCAGGAGCTCTCGTGATGAAGATACACAGCTTACACACTCCCCTACAGAAATCACGTTCTGACCCACCCAAATACAATCCTTGAAGACTGTTGCTGTGGGGTTTTTTTTTTGTACAGCAGGAATAGCATGACGTGCTGCTAAACTCCTCGAGTGCACGTCCCAAAAAGTGGGTCACATGTTTTCAGCAGGATCAGCGGTGGGATGTGCTCCATTAGAGGTCAATTTGACATAAACATGCCGATACACAAACAACATTAACTGAAACCTGTCGTCAAACGAAATTGGTTTCATATATACATTATTAGGAACGCCTGTTCAATTTCTCATTAATGCAATTATCTAATCAACCAATCGCATGGCAGTTGCTTCAATGCATTTAGGGGTGTGGTCCTGGTCAAGACAATCTCCTGAACTCCAAACTGAATGTCAGAATGGGTAAGAAAGGTGA